CAAAAATTTGGGACTGTTGTTGTAAAATCTGTTATCGTCCCCAAATTCTATTTCTCCCCATAGTTATTTTTCTTTGGATACCTATCTATCTTAAAATTTAGACTTTCTGTATTGATATTAATAATGTTTAAGTTTTCCACAGTGAACAATAAATTTTCCTAACAGCAATCTCTGAAGTCTCTGGAAGGAAGATGGGACCCCATGACAGTGATTCTAGCTGGTTCATAATGATGCCATCGAGCCAATAAACACCACTCTGAAATTGACTTTGGACTACAAGCTGCCCAAGACAATTCCAATTTGGCTAGCTGAGATGATCTACCTTCTTACAATATGCTAACCAGAACTTCAGACAAACCTTACGCACTACCCAGATACTGGCTACAAATGCTGCAGTTAGTCCCCTTAAGACTTAACCATTGTTTTAGTTTTTTTTTGTTTTTGCTTTTGTTTTTTGTTTTTTCACAGAATCCCATAGAGATACCATAGCCCCCAAGACAGCTGGAAGTAATTCTAAGAAAATGATGCCCCCTCTCCCAGCAGATGTGGTGGATGGTTTTTCTCAGGGTTAGATATGTTATTATAGGGTTGGGCCAGAATAATAATGATTAGACTCAGAAATCATGCTTGGTATAGAAAAAATGGGGATAGGATAGGATAATAAGGTAGATGAGTGTATCTACTTGGAAATTATTTTAGCAACTATTAGTTTTAGACAATTTGCATTGGTATAGATTCTTATATATTGATATATATGTAAAATCATTTCTGTATTCCTAAGATAAGTTGCATATTGAAAAATTCAAAATTATATTTGTCATATTGTGTATGCTTCTATTTTTATTTTTAATATTTTTATACACAAATTTATAATTATTTTGTCATGCTGTTGTATGTTTCTGCTTCTGGTTACAATATTTTTTATATTGATACAAATTAAGAATATTTTTGTCATATTGCACTATACATTTCTACCTCTGATTAAGATATTTTTATATATTGTTACAATTTTGAAATCATTGAAATTATACTTTACATGTTTGAAAATTGTTTATTTTTATAATGTGAAGCTTTAGTCTTGAAGCTATATAGGTTATTAAGAATTATAGATTGATAGTCACCCAGATTTGTCATACTTATAGTTGTCTTAGTTAGGTTCTCTACATGCACAGAGATGTACTCTGTGTAATAGGTAACCTTCAAACACCTCAAAGACCTACTGAATATGGCATTTAAATGTTTTAATAATTTAGAATTCTGTTGATGTGAGATATGACTGTTCCTGACAGCACTGACCTATTCCCAAGAGGATGTTGGCACTGAAGACACTCCATATGGAGCTTGTTTTTTTTCTTGGCAAAACTGGTCTATTGGTCAAAGAACTGGCCTTGTCTTGACTATTGACAGTAAGCACACCATCCAATCTGGACAAGTAAGACACAGGATACGCGACTGCTGAATCTTGTCGAGACAGGGTAGGACAGTCTTTCAAATTTTCCTGCTTCTGAAAATGGTTTGTCAGATATTTTAGGCCTACAGTCAAAGTTGGTTACCCCAATGTTGCCAAGAAACTTTGGGTGACTGTCCAGGTATTGTGCTGTTTCTATCATTTCTTGCATCTTTTGGAAGTCAAGTAATTATTATCAGGTAATATTATTTTCCTTCTTGGGTCTTTGATGGAGTTGAAGACTAGATAGTCACAGTTACTATCTTATTATACCTTAGTTTAGGCATATTTAGGTACAAGGCTTAAATTCTTCAGGATAGAACAGCTATCATAATAATCTCTGTTATTTGCAAATTGCTTGTAACCTGGTCATTTAGTATGTGTTTCTTACTAGATGTTGTTCTTGTTGATTATAGTTCCATTTTGGTGTATGTTATTACTCTTTCTTTCTCTTGGTCTACAGAGCTAGTTCCAGAACAGTCAGGGCTACACAAACAAACCCTGTCTTAAACCCCTCCCTTCCCCAAAGTACAACTTGCATCAACCAGGCAGGTTTTAGTTAAAGCAATAGTGGAACTCAAGGGAGCTAAAAGAGTTAAAGCTATCAACTAGTTGAAAAGGATAAAATTTATACGTTTTACAAAATAATAATTTTAATTGACACAGAAAAGTATTTGTCAAAACTCAGAAGTCACTCATGGTAAAACAAAGGAAGAAGTGCTGGCAAAGTATAAACTGAAGGGGACTTCCCCAGCTTACAGTGGGAATTCATGAAACCTAAAACACTATATCTAACGATAAAAGACCACTTCTGACCTGTAACCATTCAAATGAGAATGTCCCCATAGGCACATATGTTTGAATCTGTGGTTCCCACTTGGTGAAACTGTTTGGGAAGGATTAGGAGGTGTGGTCTTGTTGGAGAAGGTGTGTCACTGGGATGGGCATTGAGGTTTCAGAAGCCCATGCCAAGCTGCTTCTCTCTCTCTCTCTCTCTCTCTCTCTCTCTCTCTCTCTCTCTCTCTCCCTCCTGTTTGTGGATCAGATGTAAGCTCTGAGCTACTACTCCAGCGCTATTCATGCCTAACACCATGCTTCCTACCCTGATGGTCATATACTCATCTCTAGAACTGTAGGCAAGTCCTCAATGAAATGTTTTCTTTTATAAGTCCCTTGGTCATGGTGTCTCTTCACAGCAATAGAACAGTGATAGAGACATGACCTAAGGTATGTAGGTATGTAAAGGTCCTGGCCTAGTAACTCCTACTGTTTTTATTCAGAGATGCTTTGGGTGTCCTACCCAGTAGAATAGGTAAGAAATTAAAGGTGAAAAACTGAATCTATTTGCATGTAGAAAATCTGAAGACTCTTTTAAGATGAAAATAAAAGCAAAAACCACTGGAATTAATGAATAAGTTTAATCAAGTTGAATAATATGAAGCTACCCTCAACAGTTATTTCTTTATACCAGCAATACACAATTAGAAATTAGAATTCCAAAATATTTTTGTTTACAATAGCATCACAAATTGCTAAATTACTTCCGAATATATTTTAAAAGATATGCAAATTCCCCAGGCTGAAAACTGTAAAATATTCATGAGAAGAATTAAAGAGTACATGAGTTAACGAATATATAGATGTTTGTAGGTTGGAGGAGTCAGTGTCAGTCATATAGCAATTCTCCTTAAGGTGACCAGTGTGCAAACAACAGAAGAAAAGAAATTGTTCCGTTGGTTCAAGGCACTCTCAGTTCTAAAATCAGTTTTTAAAACAGTGACAAGGTAACTCTGAAGTTCACATGGAAAATATAAAATAACAGCTCCTTCCCCCTAAAAAAGCAGGAGAGCTAAGCAAAGTTAGAAACAAAAGGGGATAAAATGTGAAGACTTATTTTACTTAAACTAGATGGTTATCAACATTTATTAAATAGGGAAACAGTTTGTGGTGCTATCCGTACAACTGAACAGAACTCAGGACTAAAAAAGAGACAAAATTTGCATTTGGGTAACATAGGTAATGAATTTTAAAGACATGCTGACTGAAGGGAGTCAGACACGGAGTCCGTACCATGTACTGCCATAGACATGCAATACGAAAAGATGCATACAATTTATCACTACAAGAAATAATTCAGAGGGGCTGGCAAGATGGTTCAGGAAGTAAAGCTGCTTGCTGCCAAGCTTGATGACCCGCATCCGATTCCCTGGGCACACCTGGTGGAAGGAGAGAGCAGGCTTTGACAAGTTATCGCTGACCTCCACACCAACAGCCCCAACTGCAACAAGATACAGAAAAATACAATAAGCCTTTACAAAAGACTCACTAGACAAAACAGGTGAATCTGGAAGTTAACTTTTGGGGCAGGATGGGGTGGTATGGAATTATTGGTGTTCTCACTTGTTAATGGCTACCCAGATGTTCATATTGTTCAAAACACACCAGATTGCATACCAAACATGAATAGGCTGAACGCACATTTAAACGGATAGAAACAGAAGGAAAGTGGAATAGTAGACTTTTATTTTTTTTAAAAGCAAGCTTTGGGGGAATAAACGGTATGAACTGGTATTAGTCCGAGAGCTGTAGAAAGCTGCCGTATGTATAAGTCATTTCGAGGCCTCTTTGTCCTAATATCAGAGTTCAGATTCTGGGCAAGGAAGGTCTGTGGGCCCTAGCACCACCAGGGCCTACTTGTGAGCAGGACTTGAATGACCTTCTCATGCGAACTGTAGAGCGAAGGTAACACCTAGTTAACTAGCTAGACAGACGGAGATGACAGAGAGACAACATACAGTCAAGCAAACGGTCAGTTTAAAGGAGGTCTCCCAAAGATAAGTGATGATACTATTTCCAGAGCCCAACTATGATACCCATTCAACCAGACAGACAGACAGACAACCAGCTCACAACAAATGGTCCTCGCCAGCGATTCCAGGGAACTGCAAAGACGAATGGGGCAGGGGCGGTTTGAGCGTTTCCACTTTGCTTCAGGAAATAAGAGTGTTCCTTCTTTTCCGTATGAATCTACTGAACACAATCTGGAGTCTGGATCCTCTGCGAAGAAGAAAAACTCGGCTCGCCTGTAAACTTGGAGGCTCTTCTAGAAAGAGCTTCTGTTACGCCAGAAAAAGAAACCTGGAGGGAGAGAGTTGTCTGGCTATCTGGCGTTGAGAATGGGACCTTTGGACGCTTTCCTGTGTGTTTGGAAGTGAGTAGAATTAAGAAACTACAGCCTAACAACTAGAAAGCTTTGTCCAGTTCGGGGTGGTTCGGTCGCGATGGAATTCTTCAGTCTGGACGGGAAGTGGGAAGTGGAGCCGGCGACTTGTTCGGGGTCTAGCCCCCACCCAGGTCTCCCGGGCCTCCTGGGCGGTCGGCAGAGGGAGCTATTCCCCAAGAAATCGTGGAGCGGGGACCTGGCAGCGACCCGCCGGGAGTTCGGTGATGGGGAAGCTGTCCCTCCGCCCGCCCCGCAAAGCTGGCGGGTCACCCTCCAATCGCCTCCCTTTTCCCTCACCACCTTCGCAGCCACTTAGCTGCGGCTCGACGCACGGTGGCCCGGCCTAGTTCCCATCCCTTCTCGGTCCCACTTTTGCGCTTTCGCACATGGGGGGACGTTCTGTCCTGTCCACTTGGCGGGCGCTAACCCTGTCCCCCAAATCCTTGTAGAGAGTCTAGATCCCCACCTCCCAAACCTGGAGTACTTTGTCGCGGGGTTAGCACTGGCACCGTGTCGGCACCGCACTACATGCTATCAATCTCTCAAGTCCTGCGGTGACTCCAAGTTTGCTAACTTCGTGTTTGGGTAACTGAAGGGGTTCTAGGAGTCCGGCCAGAAGGAGACTTCAGGTTTGGAGGGACTGCGAGCGAGCGACACCCCTCCCTCCTCCCCAGAGGCCACTGTCCCGGAGGCAGCAGCTGCAGCAGCGGCAACTGCTCGCATCCCAGCCCGGCTCCGGTTACTACTTTCCTCCTCCAGCATCTCCAGCCAGACAGGGAAAACCTTGTTCAAGTTTGCAGCAGGACTCGGTCTGTGTGCGAAACTGGGGCTCGAGAACCGGACCCCTTCCCTGAGCCCCCATCTTCCGAGCCTAAACAAGAGCCACAAACATCGCTTTCTTCTGGGACTCTGCTTGGAGGCCAGCGGCGCTGTTGAGAACAGATTTTGAATCTGGGCTGGAGTGGGTGAAGACCAGTGGAAAACAGGTTGCGCTGCCAATTGCAGCATCTCAGGACCCGGTAAGAGTTAAACAAACTCAACTCTGGAGGCCATTGGGCTTGGAGATTGCTGGGAGGCTTCTTTGGGGCTGGAGGGCACGTTTCCCTTTAACCAGGATACCTTGGTGCAAGGGAAGTGGGACACGGATGGTCGGTTTCCCAGGGATTTATTGACATTGTTTGTGTTTGGTTTTGTTATCTGGGACTCCGGGGAAGATCTCCTCGTTATGCATTTTATTTTGCGTGTTTTTGTGCCTCTGTGTTGCTTTGCCTGTGTTTTCTCACGTTGATTGTGACATTGGGGGGTGCGGGGAGATTTGGGGGACATTGGAGAGTGAAATGCAGCGTTGGCCTGGTCTTCCTCTGAAGTCTGCCTTGTACTACTCTGGGTTCTTGACTTGTTTTCTAAACTTTTCTTTCTTTAGTACTTGATATTCAGATTGTATTTGTGGGCTGAGGCTTTCTTCCTGCCTTTAGGGGTGTCAGGGTTAAGGCAGATTCACAGATCTTTGGGTCCTTGTTTCTTGGGGAATGCTGACAGGGACACTTATTTATTTGAGTGAAATGTGTCCCTGTAGGTCATTTTCTTTTAAATCTCTTCACTCTAGGACGTTCACACACCTGGCTTGGGACTTTTTGTGTTCATTTTCTTTCTGCAAGTATTTTCATGAATAACCTACTGAATAGAAACAGAGGAAGCGTGCTTACTTCTTCTTTCACATAGAACTTCACTCGAATCCCCACAGTTTGAAAGAGACAGTGAAAGCCTGGAGTTTTCTAGGCCTGAATGAGGCACCACCATTTCTGCTTTGGAGCAATAATAGCCACGCTGTGCCTGGGCAGACAATGGCATCTTTGGTTCCTTTATGCCAGCTCTTACTTTGTATTTAGCATTCCCAGATAAAACCCTGCATTCCTGTTCCTTCTGGATAAAAAGAGCAAGCCACACGGCCTTGCCCAGAAATGCCATCAGCCTGACTGGCATGCTCCAAGGAGTCAGCTTACACCCTGCTTTTGGTTTGCTTACAAGGCCAAGGAATTCCCTGGGTAAACTGCTAGGATCAGGTGCTCTGGGTTCAAGGCTCCACTCTGTTACTTGGCAATTGTGTGGTTTGGTGTAGCTTACTAACACACCTGTATGCCTGTCTATAAAATCAAAGTGAAATGATAATGCTCACGTTGGAGCTAAAGGAGTTAGTGCACAGGAAGCTCTGACAAGCTCCACACAGAGGAGGGGTTGGTATTATTATTATTATTATTACTATTATCATTTTATTATTGAGCCAGCATTAGTGGTCATGTTGCTTTTATTCTCCCTTTTGTTGACTATCAGCAAGTATTAGTTGACAATCTATTAAGAAGGACTTTGAAGACTGATCTCACCTGCAGGCTTCCCCACTGTCTAGGATATGATGGGTTACTCAGCTTCGTTCTCATGTGTTCTTGGCAGTCTTTCCGTAGAGTGGAAAGTGTATGTGGAGGGGCTGTGATTTGAAGCTAGCTCATGACTGGATGCCAACGACTGTGGGAAGTGACAGCCTCTACACTTCCTCAGAAACCTTTCACATTGACAGCGTTTCTTTAGCCTATGTTTAAGAGGTCAATTATTCACTCAGCAAACATTTATGAAGCATCTTTTATACTTCAATGGGTTTTGTACTCATTTCTTCGGTTTTATTTGCAAAATGAGTATGTGTAGTTGCTTTATGACCCTCCCTGCCCCACTTCCTTTTAAATATGCCAATGCTGTCGTCACGTGGCGGTAAGCCTCTATAAAGCAAATCCCGAACACTTTAGACACCAATCTCAGCACTGATTCAATGCACACACAAACACAAAGCACTGAGTCCTTCAATGAAGTTTTCAGTGTGACCTCAGGCAGGTTGCTCTTTTTGACATCAGTTTTATGGTGCGTGAGTTTGTGCGTGCCTGGGGAGGTAGAGAAAGGGCTTTGGTATGTCTTCTGGTTCTAAAAGCTTTGCTATTGGTAGCCTTACTTCATTGCTGACTGTGTTTCACACCCCTTTCCCACTTTCAACATTTGTCTGGGGGTGCATGAGTTATGTAACGTCCATATTTGCAGGCTAACTAATAATAAGTAGAAAGGGGGATACATTAAGCCCGTTTGTATTCCATCAGTTGCCTTCAGAATCAGTGGTACATCAGAAGCATGAAGGGAATTTGTTTAAAAATATTATTTTTTTTTTGCCATGAGAAATTGCCAACACTTGATCATCTTTAAAAAAATCTAAACAAATAACAGCTTCCTATGGTTCATCCATGTGTAAACCTTGGCCCCTCTGTGATTCAGAAAGTCTCAGGTGATGTTGAGCACATCCAGAGAGTCCCAAGGTGATTGTGATGTCAAAGAGAGTCACTTGCTCATTTCACAGTGGTGGATTTGCTTTCTTCAGATTAGTGCTTCAGTCTGATGAGACATTTCTAAACTATAGGTCTGATCACATGATCCCCTTGCTTAAGTCCTTGACAGATCGCTAGGTGGTGATCGTCAGAGTCTCACAGGGGCTTGTTGAAAATGCGGTCCCCGAGTCAGGGTTGGAGAAAGACCGTGTTCTAGCACAAAGCCCACTGTCAGCCTCGGTTACTGTCCCTCAAAGACCACCTTTGTACCATCTTCTGTGCTGTTCTCTGTATTCTTGCTTCCAGCCCTCCAATCCCTGTAGATCTCATCATGTTCCCCAAAGCACCACACTCTTTCCTTTCTTCATGGCCTCGCGGTGAGATGATTCTTTCTGTTGGGAATGTCTGTGGTCTTCTTTTCTGTGTAAGCTGTTGTCTGCTTTCTATTTATCTTTGAAGATACAGCTCAAATCAAACTTTCCCTCTGATCTTTCCATTTCTGCCATGTGCAGTGTGTATCACGTGAGTTGCCATTCATCTCTGTGGACAGCTTTCATAGAGCACCAGTTATGTTGCTATCTGAATGACATTCCCCACAGGTTAGTGAGTCCTTCATTTCCTCATACCTTACTCAAGTGGCTGGAATGTAGAAGTTATGTAATAAATGCCTCTCAAAAATTGGGAGAAGAACAAATGAATGAACAGTAGCTGGTGGTTTCTTGCCACGCAAAATGTTAGGGATAATTCCCATATATCTATTAGGAGTGGTAGAGAGGTGAGCACAGAATTTGCTACTTGTCTAGACATGATCTATAAAGTTATTAGGGAAGAAAACACTCTGTCCCAGTGGTCCTCAACCTTCCTAAGGCTGTAACATTTTAATACAGTTTTTCATGTGGTGACCCCAACCGTGAAATTATTTCATTGCTACTTCATAACTGCAATTTTACTACTGTTATGAATTGTAATGTAAATATCTGATATGCAGGATATCTGATGTGCGATCCCCAAGAGGGTCATGCCCCACAGGTTGAGAATGACTGATCTAAACTATTTTAAGTGGACTTAAAAAAACACCACACAATACCGGAGTCATGCTGTATGCTCAACATCACAGTAGGTGCTAATGCATGGCAGAGAGATACAATTAGACTTCGGGATGGTCTTGTTTGTGATTAACAGTGTCCTGGTGCTGAAGTGGAGGTGCCAATATCAATAAAAATTAGCCAATATTGTCCCATGCTTTTCAGTGTATAAGGCCCTTTGGCATATGTATAGTAACTGGTTCAGTACTGCTTCTCACTTTCCCACGAGGACACATCCCTGAAAGCAGGTCTAAATACAGGGCTGTGTGACATGAGGGATGGTGGCCAGAACAGGCCAGAACAGGCCAGAACTCTCTACTTCTACTTTGTTGTCCAGACACGGCATCTAGTATGTCCTTCTTTCTTGAACTTTCCTTTTTTAAGCATCATCTGCTTGGATTATTTCCTCCTCGTGTATGCAAAAGTTAGCCCATTCAAGGTCAATTAACATCCAATTCTGTGGAAAGCTTCACCTATGTTAGCATCCGTAATAATTTCCGCCTCTGACTCACATTAAATTTATGAGTAAAATTCTTCTTATAATTGCCAGTCGAGTTTTTATTTTTCCTGTTTCCAGTAATTTTTTTCCTAAGAATGAATTATGCAAATGGGAGCAAATGCTGCTGAAGCAAAGCTGAACTCGTGGCTCATGGCAACCTCACATAAAGCAGGTGTGGAAGAATTTCATTCATGGGTGGGAGACAGTAGCATCCGTGAGTGAGCACACATACCTGCGGCTGTCCAATTGCGAACACAGCAGTTGAATGCGTTACTGGACTCACCTGTTCTCAAGAATGTGGACCGAATATTTACTTTCAAAACTTAGTTTTAAGAATTGATGTAAGACTCACCGAGTCCTCGGGATTCACCAATCACAATGCTTCGCCCCCAGTGACCTCTTTCTGTCTCAGTACCTCCCTGCCGCACATTTTGCCTGGACTTGTGTGAATCTGCACTCCCTCACTCGCTCATCCATCCATTCTCCAAATCCGAAACCTTTCTGCTTATCTCTTGCCCATGTGCAACACTGAAGATCAGTTTCACGATGACCATTCTTACTGCTTTTTCACATGATTTTTGTGAGGGGTTGACTCAGGGAGCTGAAAGGATGGCACAGGCTACGCATAGGAAAGCGCAATATTCACACCAGTGGTGTTTTATCTTATTGAACTTTATGTGCACGATTGTCAGCGCCGTGAGGCTGCTCCCGGATGATAAATGCCCTGCCCCGAGCCAGTCTGGAAGAGCGGCTATGACAGTACATCCTGTAGTTAGCACTATTAATGCCTATTGATTTCTCTCCTATTTCATTTTTAATGATTTATTCTCCCAGATAAAGAAACTATGTAAAGCATTCTAACCACCTCAATTTCCTCCTCAGAGAGCAATAAATCACTTCCCACCCCCACAAGACAAGGGAAATAGAATTTCAGTGTGCAGTGCCTCATCTTGCAAGGTGCGTGTACAGGATATTAGCATCTGTTAGAACCATCAGATCTTTGTGGGGGGGGCAGGAGGTCTCATGGAAGGGGTGACCAAACACCGTGTCATTAGTATCATGCCCAACCCAGATGA